TAAGCCACACAGCCTGGCTAAAGTCAGGCCTGACCCAGTTCTGGCCAACAACATCTTTCTGCCGCTTCCTCCAGCACAGTGTCAAGCAGTGAGGGAACGAGCAGTGTTCACAGTCTTGGACGTCAGATTCCCAACTCCGACAGCAGTTAATACCCTTCAATGTCCATCGCAGGGCGCCCAGCCACCCACAGTGGGGAGAGGAAGGTTGATAGCAGTAGCACACATGTGGAGATGGATATTTTATTTGTATTCATTAGCGGTGACCTTTTCAAAGTGAGGCAGGTTGGCTGTGGTTTAACTGCCCTCCGTTTCCCTTCTAACACCCTCACTTGCCACTGCACTGCCCCAACCAGTCGGGGCCGGTTTGACTTTGAGCCTCTTCCAAGAATCAACCACATCTGACAGAGCACAGAAACAGAACAAGCCTGAGAAAGCGAAGCCCCACCAGCCACACCAGCGCTGCCTGTCACCCACGGTGTCCCCACCTCCCCAGGCCTCTGCTCTGTGCTGCTGAAGTTCCGGGCAGCCCAGGTGGATGGGGAAGGAAGGTTCTGAGAGGTCTGAACCCCCAGGAGCCCCTGTGACATCAGCCCCACAAAACTGTGGGTGACGTGACCATTTCCTGTCTGGTGCTGTGCATTTGCAGTGCAGAAATAGCTCCACTCTCTGCACAGAGGGCAGGGATTGGTCTAAGGAGGTCTGATCCAATCAGGAGGACCGAGAAGTGGATCTCAATTGCATCTGATGTTTTTTCAGCCTGGTTGGTCTTATTTTGCTTCTAAATGGCAACTTCTCCTTGGCTTCTAAAAAAAGTTCTTTCTCAGAAACTGAATCAATCGTCAACATACTTACCAAAAAAAAAACCCCAAAACCCTTTCCCACTCTTACATAAGACATTGTTTTAATTTTAATATATAAAAGAAGTTTCAACTTTTAAAGGATTCATTAAGGAAAGTAGAAAAATATGCATTAATTTCTTCACTCACTGCACATTAAACATCTTGTTTTATGACTTTGTTACCAAGGTTAAGATCCACACTGCCCGTCACTTCCCTAAAATAGGAGACAATTTATAGGTGGAAAGGAGGAGAGGTTATTCAAAATTAGCCCTCAAGGAGGCAAGGAGGACTTTTCCTGAAACGCGTGCTTCATCATGTTCTGGTTTGTGAGGGTTTTTATTACAAAGAACAAAAGGAGAAGAGTACAATGAGTAAACAGATCAGGAAGTACTCTGGCTATTGAATCTATCAGCCCTTCTTGACACTTTTTCCCTTGCTGAAATGAAGCTAGAGCTGAGCCTTGGGGACCCAGGCTCTGGATGGATATTCCTCTCAGAGGGTGTGGTGTTTATCCCTTGTTTCTGTACGGCTGCATTCCTGTGAATGGAGAACAGAGCTGGCTTACACTGTAATGTGAAGAGATCGAAAGCAGCCTCTGTCTACAAAATCCCTCACTTTTGAAGGCCTAATTCACTCTATTCAGCTTTCCTTGCACAAAGACAAAGGCACGGAAGAAATAAGTGTCATACTCGTTAGTATTTTTACTTAATAAGCAAAATGGTCAATGGACATGAACACATGTTGTAAGGAAATACTTACAGATCTTAAATGTATGAAAATGTGTTTATCTGCAGTCTTAAGAGAAAAACAAATAAAATCCCCAAAGAGATCCTATTTTCCACTTGTCAGGTTAACATAATACTGAGGTTTGACACCCACTCACCATCTTTCACACGGTGGTAGGAGAGCTCAACAGGTGGGGGTAGATAGCACTGCTATCATAGTCACCAATCCATCCATTCAAAATGACAAAAAACTCCATGTTTATTGCAGCATTGTTATAGCAGCAAACTAAAGGAAATATACCACCGATCTTTTGGAGGGAGCTAATGAAATACAGCACTTTCTATTTACCAGTGAAATACCTTGTGGCTTTCTAAATGTTCCTATACACTGACGTTAAAAGAGCTCTCAGATTTATAAGTGAAAACAGAAGTCCAGGCAGTGTATATTGTATACCATCTTTGTGTAAGAAATGGAAATGGGAAGATATGTACACATACACACACATACAAACATACACACATATTTATGTATGCATGTCCAGTTTTACAGAAATTAGAACGTTTTGATTTTTCAACCATACGATTGTGTTAACTAACAGTTTTAATAAATTCTCCTTATGTGTATTATGGTTCAATACCACTTTCCATTTTATTTAAGAATTCACATTTTAGGCTGTTGGATTTATCTTGTGGCATCTTTTATTTTATTAATTTGTCATTGGGTGCTTGGAATATTTGGGGGCAACTCAACATTGTGCTATAGTGAATTAACATCTCTGAATGTACATTTCACTACATATATTTTGTTCCTGAGTGAGCTTGTGGAGAAGGACATTCTTTAGTTTATCTTTCAAGGTATTACCTATTTGGGACTTTGGAGCCTAACCAAGCCATATGATTGTTTGATTCTGGAGGAAGTCTAGCAGAAGCATTACTGTCAAAGGAAATGATAGCAGGACATTTGTCCCTGTGGAAAGCCACCAGGACAACACTAGATGCCTCGCTGACATATGCCCGAAGGAATGATATAACATTATGGCTAGGTCATCTCATTCTTGTGATAATTACATTGTATTGTTCTTGCTAATCCTGTTAATTATTCCTCCCATTTGCCCTGTTGCTGCTTTTGTTCTTTCTCAATAAAAGGTAAAAAAGATAAAAATGGTAATGAATGTAACAGTCTGAGAGGCTGAAGCCCACTGATCCCATAACTTTGCCTCTCTTGTTTTTCTTTTCATCTGCGGGCACCTCGTTCCAGGGACCTGTCATCCCAGACAGAAACTGACTCTACACCAACATGAGCTGCGGGCTCAGATGCTGAGAGCCCTGTCCAGGAGGAGCATGTCCCATGCCTGGACAGTGTGCTCTGTTGGTGATGGCTCCCGGTGACTTGCAATCTGAGACAGCCATGCTGGAGGCCAGGCGCTATTTCAGTCACTTGTTGATCTCCATTCTGAAAGTGCATCAGAATTAATGAAAGGGTTTCTTTTAGGTTCCTAGGGTTGGCCTGTGATAAGCTCCTTGTCTCAGTGACTTACAGTGGCTCGCAGTAGGAGAGGAAAAGCCCCGTAGAACAGATTGAACAGCAGGCCTGAAGTTAGAATTTGAATCATGTGGACTCTGGGATTCTTTATCTTTCACAGTGAACATTTAACAATGTGGCTGACTGGTTATTTGTCACTGGGTGTATTCACCATTGAGACTAACTGCTCAGCATGGGGCATGTTTAGCATTTGGGCTTACTCAGTGATTCACATGGTTCTCCTGAGACGGGGCTGTCATGGTGGCAGGAACATATGTCTGTACTGTGCAGAGAGAGCATTAGAAAGGGCACAAACTGCCTTGCAGAAGTCCCAATGCTCATAAATGGTATATATTTGCTATTCAAACAAAACAAAAGGCAAATAAATAAACAGCCTGAAAACATGATGGAAACCGGGGCTTTAGTCACAGAAACTTTTATAGCTCATGAACACGTTGAGTTCCTAGACCTCTGGGTGAGTAATAACATCTTTTCCCTTCAGGTTTTATCTTACTATTCAGAATGGCCAGTAAGTAATTATATAAGACATTGATGGATGTAATTGGGTAAATAAATTATTATGAATTGTACCCCACTTGATAATAAAAGAAATCCTTCAAAAATGAAGTCTGCCATGAGAAGAATCCCAAAGGATGAAGGGAATGAATAAAGGGGAAACTTATGAAAATTTTTACATAGAAAGTTTGACTCTTTTAGTCATTAAGATTTTGTGGGTTTTTTTTTCCCTCACAGGTGAGGAAATGGCGCCCTCTAGCTGTGTAATAACTATTGAGACCAGAATGTCTTCCTGTGGAATTGGGTGAACATGTACAGCATTCTTCCACAGGACAGCTAGGCACATCGCCTGCTGTTCTAGTATTCATCTCATCTACCTGCCTGCTGTGGACTTGAGTCATAGAAGTCCTGTTGTGGGGCAGGAGTTCAGCGGGTCAAAGTTTTCCCAACAAGAAACATCAAGCAGCAGGTTGACCTAAAGCTCTGTCATTGAAGATGAGCCTAGGAACCAGGAGAGGAAATAGGGTCAGGCAGGGAGGTCATTCGCCCCACCAGCTCTCTCTATACCCTTAGAAGTTAAGCTAATTTTTCCAATCTATAAACCAGACCATCAGTGTTAGACCATCACCTAACTAGAAGAAGTCTCACAATAGAGGATTATACCATAGAGTCGGAGCTCAGTCCCTATTCCATCCCGCCCATCCTCTCTACATAGAGGTCAAAATGGAGCTCAGCCTTGGAGCTTAACACAAATGTGACTGTGGGATCCATTATGTGTACAGTAGCGTCAAGTGCACACCAATGCTGCGGAGGATTTGCCTGTGTCAAGCATCACCATCTTGTCTGTTCCACACCCCCCAGCAGACAGGGCATGCTAACTTCATTTTACATAAGAAAATTATGGTACGAAGAGTTCAAGTATCTGATAGTAAGCTACTACCTGATAGTAAACTGCAGACTCAGGATTGAAACCCTGACTCTCTGGGTCCAGTGTACATGTGCTCAACCATTCTGTCATGCTGCCTCCTTGGGGCTGCTGCCTCTCTCATGGAGATATTGTGAGGTTCAAGTCATGTGACACTGTGAACACTAGTGCAGAGCTGAGCACACACAGTTCCAGTCATCCTTGAAGTCTCTCTATTGCCACTGATCGGCTCAGACCTTGAACCTAAATCTGGTGATGTTGAAAAGAGCAGTGACAATGGACATCTTCAACTGGGTGTGACACCTATTGGAGTCAGTCCCCTGAGGAAGGAGTCAGGACCACTATCTGAGGGACAGATATACAAAGGTGGTGTTGGAGCCTTGGTAACCATGAGCTCCCAAAGTCGTGGCTCAGTTATGCCATTTCTCACTTTGACTTTCATTAAATTTCAACAAATTGAAATACAAATGATCCAGTGAAGACTTTTGGCATGTTTTTTATTGTGTCTATTATGAACATCAAAGCATAGTTCAATCTCAAAGAAGACCATGTCAGGGTGGGTTGAATGGAGGTCTCCAGGGGTGACCCTGACCAGAAGCATCGAGCTGAGCACACCGAGGCTATGAGGACCTGGACTGGCTGGAGGGGTTGTGGGGACTGTGGAGGGATGGGACTCAGGGCCCCCGTGGGTTAAGCCTTGCTATGACAGAGGGAAGTCGTGGAGTTTGCCCACTTTTTGGGAAACCCTTGTGGTATAATGACAGAATAATGCGCATGTAATCTTTAGAATCTTGAGCCCAGAGAGCTTGGTAGACCCGCAGCAGATCCTGCTTGGGACAGGAACGAATGGTAGAGATGTAATGGTCCCATGAGCCTCCATCTGTCAGGTGGTCTTTACGTTGCAGCAGACAGCTGACATTCTGCACAGACAGAAGGTGACTAGGGCCCCATAGAGGGCGCTCTTGAGCATCAGCAGGAGGTAGGTGTAGTAGGCAGAGGTATTGGTGAGCTGCAGGCTCAGCAAACCTAAAAGAAGTAGGGTCATGAGTTTCAGCTCCATGTGTGACAGCACAGGACACCATGGGTCGATGTCACAGGTGTTGATTTCTAATGACCTGCGCTGAAGTCACACCACCCCTCACTCCCAAACCCAAAGGTCAGCGTCTACCACTCCCACTAGCACCACACAAGGCAAGATTCAGTTTGCAATTCAACTCAATTAACAACCCTCTACCGAATTACCTAGAACCTCCTCAATATTAAATTGTCAGATCCACGGTTAATAAATGAGCCCAATGAGGAAAAGTGTGTGTGATAACTCGGTTGGAGAATTTTTTCAACCCCAACCTATCTCTAAATAATATTAGAGGTGATATTTATGAACCACTGAGCAAATGCCAAATAACCCTATCAGAGCTTTAAATGTAAACCTTATATAATGTTTATAACAATCTATAAGAGAACAAGGAAGGGAGAGAGGGAGAGAGAGAAAGAGAGGAGAAGAGTTTTCATTTACATTTTGCAATCAAAGGGAGGACACAGTAAAAAGTAATTTTTCTGATATCATCCATCACTAAGTGACAGCCCCAGATCTTGACCCCAAAATATGGCACGGAAAGCACATTCTTATCTGTTCTACATCTGCAAATGTAACAAAAGCATAAATATAAAGATGAATTGCTAACAGAAGCATTTCAGTGATTATATACTGCATATACCATGAGATGCAGAGAAACAGGACAATCCAGGGAAATACATCATCATATACAAGGAGGTGAGTGGGAGATTTTAGGGGAAAAAAAAGAACAATATAGAAAATGTGAAAGGGCTGGGCATGGTGGTGCATGCCTTTTGTAATGCCAGCATTCAGGAGCCTGAGGCAGGAGGATTGTTGTGAGTTTGAGACCAGCCTGGGCTACATAATGAGCTCAAGGCCAGCCTGAACTGCATAGTAAGAGCCTGTCTCAAAAAGACAAAAAAAAAAAAAAAAAAAAAAAGAAAGAAAGAAAATGTGAGAAAGTAGATAATCCAAATTTTCTGAGATGCACAGTGACCATGGCACACTGCTCTGTCTTTGGTAAGTGTCTCTTGTTAGTGCTGGGATGTTATTGGGCAATTATATTCCAAGATCCTTTGTAGTTCTACAAGAAATACATGATGTCATGTCATGATTAAAGAGAATGACAATGGGTCACAGTGGCTAAATGATTAATCCCAGTGCCAATTCTCTCCCTGGGGAAATTCCCATTTTACATGGTTCATCTTCACAGTTGGAATTCATGAACCACTAGCTCTTGAGCAGACAGGAATCTCAGTGAATCTGTTCCTAACTCTCTGCCCTTGGTCAGGAAAGGGTTACCTCCTGCCTCGTCGCCTAGTGCATCAGCTGAAGCCCAGCAACTCATGAACACTAGAAACAGAGGGAAAGCAAGGAAAACTCACAAGGGTGGAGCCAATACCCAAATCCTATTCCTGGTGCACATAGAGGGAGGAAAAGCCGAGAGTAATACTGATCCTGAGCCTGCTAAATGGATCACTATGCTGGATGCTTGCCATGTGGGCCCTGATCTCTCCAGTGACTGAGTTTGGTGTAATTCTTTTGGTTGGCAGATGAACACGTTATTACTCACAAATGACTTCACTCTCCCAGGTTCCCACAGCTGATAATTAAGAGGCGTGGGCTGCACTCACTCTGTGGCTCAGAAGCTATGTGCTACCACCCGCCACATGTCCATCCTGTCCTGGGCTCTTGGCCTTGGAGTTTTGTGCTCTGTGACTCCATCATAGCAGAGGAAGAGCACAGTAAGGGTACGAGCTCTTTGTTTTAGAGCTCAAAATGAAACCCCAGATCTGGCTGTGTGGTGTGTCAAAGGACTCAATTAATTTTAGCTCATTTCCCTCACCAGTAAGATGGGGTGAAAACGATTGTGCAGGAGAGAGCAGCATTATGAGGATTAACCAGGAAACCCATGCAGCACACAGCCCAAGGCCTTCCGCGCACACAGTAATCAGTGCCACCTCACCTGACTAGTAATTTAAAAAATGTCTAGCTTTCACTCACTATTATGTTTTCTTATTTGTTAGGAGTAATAGACATGTGAACAAATGAAATGTCTTTGTTCAAATGGTCTAGAGGACATCGCTGTGCCCTCTGATCACACTCATGCCCTAATCAAGTCACTAGTTTACCGTGTGAGTATGGAAGCAAAGCATTAATTTACAGTGTGACGGTATGTTGCAATGTCTAGCCATTCTGATTTGACTAGCTTAAGCCAAGGCAGTTCAAGTTGAGATTATTAAGAAGAAAAAAAACAAAAACAGCTGACATCGACATGAAGGTAATGAGAGAGTAAAACTTACCATTTGCATCTTTCAAGGGATCACCTTGTTCAGTAATATTGACAGCTAGAAGACAGCAGAGCAAATACCTGTCAGTTATTCTTGCCTATTGTTTGGCGCTGTGTGTGAGTATGTGTGTGTATAATATTTTTGATGGAGACACAATGATATTCAGTTAATATTAGTTAAAGCTAAGGAGTGTTGATTGATCCATCTAAGCCAGGCACTGTGCTACCTGCTTCTCTTGGATATTCTTTTTTACCTCCCCAGTAACACCTAAGTGAGTTGTACCCTAATCAGCTCCATGTTATGAGTGAGGATCTAACTTGAAAGAGTGTAGTGGAAAATCTTCTAGTATTTAGTTATTCTTAGTCAATGCACTTTTGTTAAAAATGTAGAGGCTGACAATTTTAGCACAATTCTTTCTGATAAGAGAAAGATAAGACTATTTTTTTATTTCTTTGAAAAAAAATTGAGGTAAGAGTTATATTTATCTGGCATGACTCATAGGAAAGATGAATTAATTTAAAATGCCATTCATAGTATATTCCGTAACCTGTGGTCATCCTGATTTTTCCACTTAAAGCCGGAAAAGGGCCAATTAGATGATCAGAAGGAAATATAAAAATACACTACCATAAGATACAGGCAGACATACATTGAAACTTACCAATTTCATCTTTCAGATTGGCTTCCATGGGATTAATAGTGGCAACAGCTACAAGAAATGAGACCAAGTAGTAATCAGTTATTCATGCCTGTTATTTGAAAATGTGTATGTATGTGTGTGCATGAATTAATATCTATGGATAGTTAGGTAAAGTCCTGACATAGAGGCAAAGAGTCTTTCACTTTTCTAACTAGCAAAACATTTTTTTGCAGTGCTGGGGATGGAACACAGGGCTCCTTGCATGCTAGGTAAGGCCTCTCTACCACTGAGCTCCATCCTGAGTTGGGGTGAGAGAGTTATTAAAAATATGGACTCCACAGCTACAAATATAATTGGCCCATAAGTATGTGACACATGGAAGAGTAAACATCGTAGCGGTAGTTTTGTAGCTCTCAGCATTCTGTGCCACCTTCCCACCAAAAGTGAGAGTGTCCAGTCCCAGAATTGACCACAGAGCTGGATGCATTTGAAGGAGTCGGACTTAGAGAAATTTCCTGCCTAACAGAAGAAAGCAGCCTACCTTGTAACTCATGCGTAGTCCCAATATCTCCGAGTCACTCACAGGACTTTCTGGAGATGATGTGTTTGTGAACATGAACACATCAGTTTTAATGCAAGGGAATACCTATTTAGTGATCATTTCTGCACCAGACACTGTGTTAATTACTTCCCCTGCATCATCTTGTTTAAGTCCCCAATAACCCTTAAGTGATTTGTATCATGTACAGTCCCATGTCACCAATGGAGATATAAAATTTAAAGAGTACACCTAACTCATACCAGAGAATAGCAGGGCCAGTATTCAAAGGGTCTTGAAAAGAATTAAAAGATACAGTGGTGGTGAACCTATGGCCCACATGTTGCTTTTGTTTTAAGATAAAAGGTGTTAATGTGTGAGCTATTTTTTCTAAACCAAAACCTCAGCATTCAGATTTCATTTATTACACAGCTGGCACTGTGTGATAAATAAGTAGGCTTTGGGTTGAAGTTTGGGTACTTTTCTCTAAGAGGTTTGCCATCACTGAGGACCTATGGACAATGATTTGTAAAACTAATGCATAGAAATCTAGAGAAAATAATTAGAGAGAGAACATAATTCCACCACTGTGGCCACTATGAAAACCTCCTAGAGTTTTTATTATTCTTAGCAAATGGAATTCCTTTTATTACAGAAGCTGAGCATTTCAGTGCCGTTCTTTGTGGGAACAGAAAGACAAAGTGTACATTTGTAGTTCTCTGAATAAAACAAACTGAGCATTGTATTAATCTACAGTCAAAAACCAAAACTCAAATAACCAGATATCATCTTTTCTACAACTGGGAGAAACAACAAACACAAAACTGAGTGAAATCTGTTTCTTGAAATAATTGAGAGTACTTTGTTGTATCCTCTTTAATAGTCATCTAAAGCCCAGATCAGTAGTTTACTGTGATAATATGAAGGAAATTGTAGAGAAGTTGAAAAGTTAAAATGCTCAGGAAGAGGGAAAAAAAGGTGTAGCACTGACAAACATACACTAAAACTTACCATTTTTATCTTGCGATCCAGCTTTTCTGGAATTAATAGTGTGAACAACTAAGACAAATGATAGCAAATAGTAGTCAGTCATTCAAGCCTGTTATGGAACACTACAGTATGTGTATATACACATATATTTTACATACATATATCTAAATTTATATAATCTGTTGACCATAGGATAGGAGAAACTGACAGTATAAATATGAGTCTTACAATTGCAAAACAATTCATCTCTCTGTAACTCAGTAGATATTTCATAGATCATATTGCCCCATGGGCGGATGTCAAAGATCCCACATTAGCTTTACATCTCTTTCAAATCTCTTCATTTGTTTGTGTTTCTATGTGTTAGTTTTTAGCTTTTATTAAAAAAATTCAAAAAGCAACACTAGAAAATGGCTATAGAATGACATTGACAGAATGCTTTCCTTAACTTTGTTATGAGAAAGTCATGAAAGATATCAGTTTACGTATGTGACGCCAAATACAACCCATTATACTGGAACCACTCTCCCACACGGTATTCACTATCACAACCTAGTGCGCACTTCACTTTTCCCTGATCATTACAAGAATCAGAACCTAACAGGACACTTAAATACAAATGGTGACATTAACCTTGGATTCTGCGTATTTTCCTCCTTTCTCTTTTTCAGCAATGAAAATAGAAAATTGGGGCTATTTTTGCAATTGCACTTTAGTTTGTTTTAGAAAATATGCAAAAGAGTACAATTCATTTCTAAATAAATGCATGGAAGTTATATTTTGAAAGGCAAATGTTTTTACTGATTCTATTTCATTTGTTCTTCCTCATTGCCACATGGAAAGACAGGCCACTGTTGAGACCACACTGGTCACCCCAGAAACTAAGGACTCCCAGAAGATGGAGACTCATTGGCAAATCTGGATGGTTAGTGAGAAAGGTCTCTGTGGTTTGGGCATCTGAGTGTTTCCCAGTGGTTCAAAAGGGCTTATTAACCACAGAGGAAAGACCAAGAGGATTCTTTCCCATAGCTGCTCTAGGATTTTCAGCTGTGGCTTCTGAACTGCGATGCACAGTGACCACCAGGAGACTATGCATGTTCAGCCCTTGGCCCAGCAACATGGACCTATGCATCCCTGCATCAGATGCATTCCTTTTGGACATTGACCGAAATCATGCATGGCCTTGGGTACCTGGAAAAACAGCATTCTGTCTTCACTGTAGTGTAGACATCCTGGGACACTAACTCCTCCTAGACTATTCTTATCCACATTCCCACTCAGGCCTGACATAAGCTAGTGGTATAGAAAATGTTAGACAGTTACATTTGGTGATGGTGTGCAATATATTCATAATGGAGAATGGGGCTGGGGATTTAGCTCAGCGGCAAAGCGCCTGCCTGGCAAGCGCAAGGTCGAAAAAAAAAAAAGAACATAATGGAGAATGGAAGTAAGTTCATACATACTACCATCTCCCAAGTTTGAATTATAAAATTATGTCTAAAGTGATATATGAAATCAAAATCAAAATAACTCAAGCCAGGCATGCATTGGCCAAGATTATACTGTTTTATTGAGCTGGGATCTGGCTGTTTCTATCGAGCACCCTTTTGTCAAATAAGAACTCATTCTTCATAAATAAAACCATGCACAGCACTATTTAAGCAGGTGTCTTTGGTAGACATTTTTGAGTGATGTAATATTGTTCTTATTTCTAAAGCAAGTGCAGTGCTCAAAAGTGGAACATGGCATGTTACACAATGCTAGATGCTTTCATATATGTTGCTTGATTGAATCCATATAACAATGCTTAAAATAGCATATATTTTAATATTCTAGGTGTAGACAGAGAGACTGAGAATGCTTAAGTAAAATTTTTTGCTTGTTTTCTCAAAGCCTCTACAATTTTCATACTACAGGAAATAACAGGGCATTTGTGTTACCATTAAATTTAGTGGGATTTCAGAAAGACTTTTTTTCATTAATAGTTGATAGAAAAGATGAGGTATTCTCTTCCAAATAATTATTCTGGAAGATTATATTTATATAAACATACCTGTATTTATTGAAGGAAAGAGAATCTCATTTTCAACTCCTCCTTTGTTTTTCTCATGTTTGACGATACATCTGTGCTCTTTAGCCATTGAATTTCCAGTCACTGTTAGCCAGCTAAACTTCATGTAGGTGTCTTTAGTTTTCATGGTGTCTCCCTGCTGGGACTTAAGAATCGTATTGCTATCTTTTTCTTTCCAATATACCTTAATATCTTCAGGGAAAAAATTTTCCAGCAGACAAAGGTATGTCCCAGTCTTATGGAGATCTATTTCAGTAATTGAAGGAAGAAACATAGTGGGCTTGGGGGAAGTGTCTATGTTAAAACTTTTATCTGTGGGAGAAAATAGAACATCAACAAAGAGAATTATTAGAGAAACACAAACATTTCATGGTTTGTAAGCACCTAGCTCACAATGATAGGAAAATGAGCTAGCTTTGAATGAGCCCAGTGGCTTTTCATTCACTGCAGGTTGCAAGACTATGACTATTTTCCTTACTTTGTTGATGTGCAAAGAGATTCAAGAAGTTAAGCAACTGGAAAAATGTGACAGCTATTAAGTGACAGAGCCTGGGACAATACTGGGCCTTTGTCCTTCTTCCACATGTTCACATGAGGTATGATTTTTAATTGGTCATAAATGAGATATCCAACATTTGTGAGCCCATGCACTTTCTCATAATGGAGAATGTTTTCAAAATGGGTGTCAGAGCAAGGGAAGGAGACCAGTCCCTGGGATGAGATCTCTAGAGATGAGGATCTGTGGTCCCTTCTAAAGAGCTTCCCTTTCCTATCCTTTGCCACTTGTTCTGGCCAAGTAACTGTCATTCTCATGTTCCGCTGCCTTGTGTGACCCACTATTCATGTGCCTGATTCTAGGATGCACCCTGTCTGTTTTCATGGAGATAAATACCAAGGGAATTTTTAAGTTTTTATTTTTGTAGCAATACACTATCATTTCTTTTAATGAGAAACTCATTCCACAGGTACCTACAGCCTAGCAAATTGATCTCCTTGCCTGAAATATGAATCCCAGGCTTAGCTGGACATTCCTGGAGCTCTCCTAGTTAAACTCTGTTGTTACTCATCCAACTTTCACATATGAACTCCTCTGGGCTCTCTAGTTAGGCACTATTTAAAACTGCACTTCCTAATGTACCACAGCGTCTTGAATTTAGAAGCAAAATAACATTTTCAAAAGCTCTAATTAAAATTCTATCAATTATTTTAGAAAATGCTTTGTGTTAGTCTGATCAGTTAATGCACTTAGACACATATATTTTAGTGTCACCAAACACATATTTTAGTTGGAAATTCATTCAAAGTTTGTGTTACTAGCTATACACCAGCGGTATATTTTTCACACTTTTTAAAATACAAATTGACCCCATTAAGAGCAGGTCTATACATAACTGCACATCCATATTTAGACTCTCAGTATTTCTCTCAAAATTAGTATTTTCCCAAATGCTACTTATCTGTTTTGGAGTTACACTATTCTCTTTATCATACTTATTGAATAAAGTATATAAATGGTGCAAGGTTAAAATCTAGGGTTCAGGAGTTACTAGCAGGCACAGGGTCAAAGTATATAACAAAGCTTTGTATGTTTACAAAGCTACATAATATGTATCTGAAATGTTAAATGGTTACACATTCATTTTTAATCCAATGGTTTACAAATGTTGGAACTTTCTAATTTGATTTCCAACTGAAAATCAAATAGATAACCAATCACCTCTCTAGGCTAGTTTCAAGTTAGTATAGCAACTCACAAATATACACAATCAGTAAGCATATAATGTTAACATTCCTGAGCATGTAATAAAGATATCTGGTGCTATATTTGTTTTAAATTTCTACATCTTGCTTTCAGTGCAATTCATAAGACACTGTAGATTTTTCCAACCATGTACTTTATGTGTAGTTCAAAAGCAAGTCATAATAGAGAAGATTAAAATTTTAATTGTGCATTCTATTTATATAATTTTAGCATAAGTCAACCTATTAAATCTAATTTTCATCTTAGGAGCTTGTGTTTCTTCGTGGAAATGTTTCAGATTCATTATCACAATGAAATTGAAAATCAAATGATGAACTGGAAAAAACTGATTTACAGTAGCACAGCTTTCATTGCCTCTTGTTATCTCGTCCTTAGAAAGATTAAACTTTCATGCTTTTGAAGACAAAATGAATCTTCAACTTACATAACTTTCTCAGTACAATAGTTAGCTAAGCATTAAATAGTATACTTGACTGTTTATGGTTAGTATCTATACTTTGGGTTTCTATTTCTTATATTATACAATCTTCTTAGCATGACTTTTAAATTTACCTAATTAGGGTTTTTTCCATGGTCAACATTTTTTCACTATGCATACACTGGCAGGTTTTTATTTTATTTGAATACTGAATTGAATATCGACCATATATTTTATTTTAACAACAAAGGAATCTGACCACATCATTTATCTATGTTTATTTTCCTAATCAAACAATATATTTTGAGTTAAACTATCTAAGTTTGTATTTTAAGATGCAGCAATATGAATTGTATATGTTTAGCAAACGTCAGTAGCACTGTCTATTGAATGTATTATATTGCAAATCTACACATCATTTATTGAAGTGTTGTCTATTCTTTCATCAAATAGTTGTACTTATATAATATTTAAATATGCATTTCAGATTTATGACAAATTTTCTACCATATCTAATTGACTTATAGCTTGACTATTTTCTATATGAATTTAAAGTTCTTTTCTGATCAATATGGAGAGAAGCCTAATCTTACTGACAAAAACTTTTGGAACCAACTAATACTTATGTTTAAACCAGTTAATATAACAGATGAAGATTTATAGCAGCACAGAACAGTAACAGTTTTGAAAAACATACTTTATTTTCAGTTTTTGCCAAGTGATGAAATATTTAGAGATGTAAATACATCCAGACTCCTACTTTGTAAGCAGTTGTGAAGATATTTTGCATTTCAGCAGTTAGAAGTACAACTCAATCCTATGGAGAATTTCTTCTCTGTAAGTGTTATTTGCTGAAAACCATTCTCCAGACCAGATAAAATATTCTTTTTCAGCTTTTGAATTGGAATACATATTGGGCAATGTACCAAGAACTTTACTCACATTATCACATTTTATTCTCATATAATATTTTCTGATTTCACAGCTAGCCCATTTTGTGGGTCAAGAAACTGAGGCCAAAGAATAATAATCTATTATCACTAAACTTAACAATGCAGTTCAAACTCTAGGTCTTCTATCTGCTACATTCAGACTCTCCCACAACAAATTTGGCCATGAGAAAAGGGAGTGATCTCCTCCACTGAGTCCATCACAAATTTATTAACAATAATGGACTGTGATCCAGAGTTAACACTTTAACGATTTCGTTACATATATAATATGGGAGCACTTTGTAGCAGTTCACACATGCAAAAAGCCATTGTCTATGCATTTCTTTCTATAAGGATTTCTACTATAATCTCTCCTATTCAGTGTAAAGATTTTTACATTGGATTTCCCTCATATTCTCCTGTTTTCTAACCATCCTATACTTCCAGTAAGATTTCTCTTATCTTCTATTACCTTGTAAGTGTTGGGTTACTCTGATACATACCTGTGACGACAAGTTTTGTTCCTCTACCGAAGGTTTTCGTTGCACTATAATAACCACAGTGATGGGACCCATATCAAAAACCTTACACTAGTTTAGTGTTCCTGAGTTCTCCAGATCCTACTGGCTGCATGTGGCTTGGAATTCTGTAGAGCCCAGGTTTCTGGTTCTGCTTTATTTTTCCCATAACAAGTTACATGGCTGAGCAAATCAAATGACTGAACTTTTTGGTGCTTTGTTTACCTTAAAACAACAATGTCCATATAAATCAACTCAGCAGGGCTACCAACACTAAAGTGACAGTAAAACAAATTGTGATGCAATTTGATTAAAAATACTGTAGAGGGCCGGGGATATAGCTCAGTGACATAAGCACCTGCCTGGCAAGCACAAGGTCCTGAGTTTGACTCCCGGTACCAAAAAAACCAAAGAACCAGAAAAAAAAAAAAAAATTTAGAAACACAAGAGGAAATTATTTACATCATTGACATTATCAATTTGTTTGCTCTTTGTGCTCCAAAATGACATTTTTAAAAACCAGTAGATGTTTGCAGTACATAATATTTGCAATCTCTTGTGTGCAGATGCTGCATGTACACATCTTCATTCCCCTTTACATTCCCTTCCTTTCTTATCCCCCTTCCTTCTCTCCACTCCTGATTCTCCCTCCAATGAGAAAGTTCTATCTCTCTACTTTCTATTGTCTTTTATTTTGTTCTTTATTTATACCTTGGGTTTCTCATATAAAAATAAAGAAGTGATATTTAAGCTTGAGTGTCTGATTTATTCCACTTAACATTATGGTCTCAAGGTGCATCCATTTTCCTACAGATGATTCAAGTTTATTCTTCTTTATGACAGAATAGTGCTCCATTGCGTGCCAATACCATATTTTCTCTATCTATTCATCAGCTGCTAGGCATATAGCCTACTTCCAAGATTTAGCTATGATGAATTGTGGTGTAACAGACATTTACTCTCACAGGACAAAGCCTTGCCTTTCCTCATAGATATTCAACACTTTGGCCTTACAGTTCCATCCATGGCAACTAGGGTGGGAAACACATTCATCTGTCCTCAGTTTTCCTGCATCTGACTTCAGTCAGCACATGGCAAAACCCAGCTTGCCATTCCTGGCTTGGCCCTTCCAAGAAGAGTGACTAGAGAGGCCTGGTCCTCAAAGCCACCTAAGTGACTTAAGTGCTACCTTCCTGGCTCTGTCTGTACGTTGAAGTCCTTGTCTGTGTGTGACATCAGTGTTAGGAGGCCCATTGCTCTAATGCCATGGTCATGTGTGATGGCTTTTTTAAGGATCACTTCCTCCATTCCCCAAAATAAATACCGATGGCACTTTCCTCTTTACACTTAACAGTTTCTTCCTGTAGGAATCATGTGTGGGAGTCCCTTTCTAATTTTATGATGGAAAAACATCAGAATTGAAAATTTGGTGTGTGTCTTGTCTTATCAGTTAATAGCAAGTATGTATTCCTCCATACATTTATTCCCCTTTGAGCATAAAATTTTACTGTTTCTTGCTATATAATCCCTGACTGTCTTATTTCTTCTTTGCATATAGCTTTTGACCTTTGCTTGGTGGTCTGACTCTAAATGTGGGCTTTACCTTAGGTCTTCTTAATTGGTTCTGAAATAGGCAGTTTAAATACATGATCCCAAGTTTGTATAGTCAAGCATGTTTCTCTTTTCAGCCTCAAGTGTTTATCATGCTATAAGGTCTAACTCAAATAAGGCACAAGGGATGGAGGAGAAGTCTACAGATCTTAGCTCTGTCGTAAAATCTCAGACATGTTGAATTTAAACAGACAGCATAGGAATATAAGATGAGGCTTTGTGTCCTTAAATTATCCTTCACGATATGGGGCTTGCTTTACGGTACATTCTGTGTGTAGCCTCTCACATGCAAAGGTGTTCTTTCAGCACTTTACCCCAAAATACAACTGGGGCACAAAATCTACCTAAAATGATCTCACTTTACACTGTTTTTGGAGATAGCACTGATAAAAGAAAAACGCAAAGGAATTTAACATGTATTTGGTATTATTACTTGGGATTAAAGTCTAAATCATTTGTACTTACTTAATACATAAATGGAATGATAATGAATGAAAAAATGTTTTTCTTTTGTTTTGTAAGTTGTTAATTGGTTTGGGGGATAAAACATTCTCTGACACCACCAGGTGCAGATTCCCAAAGGACATTCAACTAGAGTAACATAGGAAGATGATGAGAAATATTTTTAATGAAATTTCACTAAGCAAAGAACCTAACTACATAAAGCAAAAACAAGAAACTGAGGAGAAAGTCATAGGTCAGTGAAATATGTACTAAGAACTATTAGTTTTTGTAAAAGAACTGCCTTTTATGTCACTATATAATCACTATAATCCTTATTTACCTTGAAGTACGAATTGAATAGTGTCAAATTAATAGTGTTTCAGCATATTCTGTTAAGTCAGTGCTAGTCTGCTGTATCTTTTGCATAATTTTTTATTTAATCTATGTTTTTATGCTTATTTTATGTTTATTATATTTTTAAAAATACTGGTATATATTTCAATTGATAAATAAAAAGTATTTAAACTTTTAAATGAAATTTAAGGAAAAAGAAATAGTGTAGCTTAGTTGATATTTGTTTTGATACAATTTTTAACTGTAGGTGTAAATCAATTAAATTAAACATTATAGATAGGAATGTAACCATATTATCTATATATTTGTAAATTTATATAACCAAGGAATGCAGAAAATATCCTCATTTTTTTAGCTTTCATAGACAACTACTCAGGAAAGAATGATAATGTTGCATTCAGTCAGAAAATATTTGAGGTAATGTCGATTAGATACTAATCACTTTTGGAAGCAAGTATTATTAGTATGAGAAATAAAAAAGCATGTTGCAGATACTGAAAATTTCTTCATATGTGAGCAGTTTATTAGATGGTGGTCAATAAATTTATTAGTATTCCTGAATTTATATAGGTTTGAATGGGTGGTAAATTAAATGGAGGAGAAGGAATTAATAATGAATCACCTACCAACTGCCAGCTATTGGGATAGGTAACTACGTATTTAATTTCAATTAATCCTTACAAATTCATTTGAGATGTACCTCATTATCTTCAATGTACAATCAGCTAAAGATGAGAAGTTTCAAGACTTGCTCAGTTAGTGGATAATATACGAACATTTGTGAACAATGTTCATGAAGTAGTGTAAAGTAAGAAAAAGAAAGGCATATCCATTATTGTCTATTATATCCCTAATTTAGTAAAACAAAAATAAAATGTACATAGATACAATTACTGAATAGATATATAAGAAAATAATAGTTATATCGATAATTTTTGCTTACCTTTATGTAGTTTACAATGTCTAAAATCAGCAAGAATTTTAATGATTTCAATACAGTAATAATTGTTGAATCAGAATTTACTTGCTGATGGATGGCTACATAGAAAGCGATAGTCCCGGAAGTCATACTTCAGAATCAAAATCATATCCTTCCCTATGAATTTCCCAGAGAACTTATCAGTGTCCTTGTTTAATATAATGGCTACATCTGACAGTGAGTACATTTGTAAAAAGGAGACCAGAAAGTGTTTTTCAATTTAAAAGTTAATTTCTTCATACGATCTCAACCACTAGGGAAAGTGAGATAGATAGATAATAGATAGATAGATAGATACATAGATACATAGATACATAGATAGATACATAGATACATAGATAGATACATAGATACATAGATAGATACATAGATAGATAATTCAATTTTTCAATGCTTTATGAACTTTATAAAAATACTTCAAAGCTTCTACTTCAGTGGATCCAATGGGCTAGAATAATCCTTGTAAGATGATCTCCCTTGTCCATGCAAAGAAAAATAAATTGCTGAACTGAATTTTAAAAAGAAAAAAATGCACCTTTTAAATTCTTGAATAGGATCACACAATGAAGTGCTTTGTCATTAGATATTATGCATCCTGGAGCCAAAAGTGAACCGTTAATTCTGTGACCAAATGTCAAGTTTAGCAGATCTTTTCTTTTTTTCTCACTGATGATTTTTAGAATAAAGTAAAAATATGGAAACCAAAGATTTTAAAAATTTTCAAGAAAGAAGTAACAAGTATAATTCTTCCATCCCAAGGCATCCACAGTAGCTCTAAACTCCTTGATGATCTCTCTCATGTTGAGTGGGGGGCAGACCTGCCCTGAGGCACCTGGACCACATTCCCTGCTCTGTCGAGATTCCACTGTAACTAGGGTCCAAACCAGGAGTCATTTCCATAGCTCTTTGCCAGCATCTTCCCTGCAACCTCCAGCACTTGCATTCCTGCTTCCCCTGGCCACATTGCCATGCTGAATTGAAAGAAAACTGCCTGTAACTGAGTGTTGTTCCAGTACCAAAACTTTAATGTTCTGCCCTTTTTTTATATACTGTCTTTTAAAAATCCCTCAAAAATTACCTTTTGCACTTTTCAACATTTACATAAAAAGAGCAGTTGGTTCTGCCAACATTAAACAAAGACAAAGCTCAAGCAAAATTAAATAGATTGCAGTGTAGTTAGGAAACAAAGGACAGAGCCTACTCTGCCTGGTCAGCAGGGTTCTATCTGCGCTCTTACATCACATACATTGGGAAATCTGGTTTTGTCTTTTCTCAGGAGTTGCAAGAAGCTTCTATGTCTCTTCCCTTAAATGTTTTTTTCATATATAAAGTCAATTCTTGACCTAAAGTGTAATTTTAGTTACTTAATATTTCTTAAATTTTAAAAACAACCAATAATAATAAACATGCATTATAACATATGATAGGCATATAGTCAATATTATTTACAGGTAACTTTGCCATCCTATGGATGTAAGGATAGAAATCTGGATTGATTATAAAGCAATTCCTCTTTTGAATAAAATTTCTCTTGATAGTAGACTTCTGAATTGTTTTAGAATGTTTATACTCAGTGATGTCTTAATCAGTTCATGTTCTGAAACCCAGAACTTGTCAGACTAATATAAGTTTTATGGTAAATATTTTTTTCT